GTATATGTGTGTGAGGGAGATAGAGAGGAAGCCTGCATTCAAGTCAGCCTGCTAGGATGAGAGCCACAGCACAGGAACCACAATGTGAGGCCTCTTTTCCCTGCATTTAATTCGTGTTGTGGTAGGAGATCAGGGACCCAGAAAGGCCATAGGTCCTTCTACTCATGAGTTCTTCCATCATGATGCTTTTATATCTTACAGCGTTGCCAGATGTATAACAGAGGCTCAGAGCACAGGCTAGAACTTTAAAGTTCACCAGCCAACCCCACCCCTTCTTACAGATTAAAACATGAAGACAAAAAAAAAAAAAATGTGGTTCTGAACTCAGGTATCTTGCCTCAAAATGTGACTTCATAGGGTCTCTTCAGAGGTTATCAAGTTAAAATCAGAGTGGCCCTTAACAAAATATGACTGGTGTCCTTTTAGGAAAGGAGAAGTTTGGACACTGAGAAACACACACAAGCAAACAGAAGTCCATTTGAGGATGAAGGCAGAGATCAGGGAAATGCATCTTCGAGCCAAGGAACATCAAATACCACTAACAAATCACCAGAATCTAGGAGAGAGGTATGCAACCGATTCTTCCCCTTAGCACTTACAAGAAGCACTTTAGTCTTGGACTTCTAGCCTCCAGAACTGTGAGACAATACATTTCTGCTGTTTAAGATACCCAGTTTGTGATACTTTGTTACCACAACCCTAGCAAATTACTATACTTCTCTCTAGGAGGCCCACCACTAAGGAATCTAGAGCCTAAAGTAAAAAAAAAAAAAAAAAAAAAAAAAAAAAAAAAAAAAAAAAAAAAAAAAAATGTTAGAACTATACTAGAGGCTCTGAAACCATATTTAATAATCCTACTCCAAATGAATACAGCATCAAGAGAGAAGGTATGGGGCCTTAGCGAGTTTGGCTCAGTGAATAGAGCATCAACCTACGGATTGAAGTGTCCAAGGTTAAATTCTGGTCAAGGACACATGCCCGGGTTGTGGGCTCAATCCCCAGAAGGGGGCATGCAGGAGGCAGCCGATCAATGATTCTCTCTCATCATTGATGTTTTTGTCTCTCTCCCCTCTTCCTTCCTCTCTGAAATTAATAAAAATTAAAAATATATTTTTTTTAAAAAAGGAGAAAGAGAGGATATGGAGAATACATACTCCCAAGTTCTCAGACAAGACAAACCTTTTTTTGTAACTGAAGAAACTACATGAAATCAAAACTAAAACTACATGAAATCAGTTGTTTATGTGGCAAGGCAAAAGTCATGTATAGTTTGTTCCATGATGGAACAAAGTTCACATATTTTCAAGGCAGGATATAATAGTAAAGAAAATCAATGAACACCTTGGCAAAAGGTAATGCTGAAGTTCCCCAGACACATTTCACTTCTTTTCCTAAGGATACTGGAATATTGTATTTCCCACTCTCCTTTGCAGCTAAAATGGACCATGTGACTAGTTCTGACCGATAGACAATGCCCAAAAGTGACATAGGTAGAGGCCTAGAAGAACATATGCAAGTTGTTGATGCTTTCTCTTTCCTTGCCATTGGGACCCTAGAAGTCATATATTGAGACTGAAGAGGTACAACTTCAAATGGTTGAATCTTTAAGTCCAGATTGAAAGGGAGCTGCCTTGGAGAACCATCTGGCTCTTAATGAAGCTTCTGTGAGACAGAAATATATGCTTTTGAGATTTGGGTAAATCATCTAATCTGACACTTTGTCCTAACTCAACTGATGTTGGCCCTCACCTATGCAATTTGCAATTATGCAAAATAATAATAAGCCACTTGAAAAATATTAACTTGGAATTTCTCATGTTTTTTGTTGCCTAGTAAACAGCCACTGGTAGAGCAACCCACCCCAACTATGTCTTTGGGATGCCCTCTAACAACCCAGACCCTGGGCCTCACAATAAAGAAAACACCTCTTCTACATTCTTATCTACTTCTCCAGTGGGAAGGGTGGATCTTAAAAGAAAAAAAGGCATTTTCTGCTTCAAAAAGTAACCATTCTTGGTGCAACTCTGATGGTAAGAAATCTATTTCTTATTATATTTATAATCAGATTCTCTGTTATTTCCCCCATTGACCTTAGTTCTACCCTCGAGAGTTCTGAAATAACAAAGGATACTGCTCTCCTCCAGCTGATGTTTTAATCAAAGGAGATTTCTTTTCAAAAGCCTTGTTAATCAAGCTATCACTAATGTCAAATCCTGATAGAATGTAGGCCAGTACATTGTTCTGATTATTTTGCTGTGTTTGGATTTTATCATATGAAAAAAAAAATATTTCAAATAAATGGAATTCCACCTGGGGCCCAACATTCTTTCAGTTAGAAAAAGATTTGCATCATAGCAATATTTGTTTTATTAGGATTTAACATGTCCATTGTTCAGATGCATGCCTATGTAGGAATGTGGAAAACAGCTTTCTATCATAAACTCAGAAAAAATGCCAGTGAAATTCAGGCAAATAGGTTATGATTGCATTGACAACTCTTTTCATAAACTAATGGGCTGTCTAACCTATTCATTATTTCTATCCCCCATAGGGTCTTGCAAGCACATTGCCAAGGAGTTTGTTGAATTTGGTAAATTGATACACTGGGCTTATTTTGACTTCTCATTTCTACAAATAATCATTAGGTATTTAACAATATGTGAATGTGTTTAGAATACCTAATGGAGCATTAGTTAGGTAAATAAGTGATTCAGTTCCCCTTTTCCTAAATGATTGATTCCCTTCATGCTTAAGTTGAAGTTTTTAAATGTGTACATGCAGGTGAGGTATCTCAGTCCTGTAATTCATGTTTGATCATCAGGATTCCTGTAAGAGCAATAACATACAATTTTATTTGAAGGACTAAAGGAATCAAATCAATACAAGGGCTAAAAAAATAAATAAAAATGGAAAATTACTAGTAAACAAAATCTTTTTTTTTTATTACACTTCAAATTAGAATATCTAGCATTAGCATGGCTTGAGGAAACTCTTTTATATTCTCCTGTGGGAGTATAAATTGAGAAAATCTATCTGAAAGGCAATTTGAAAAATATAACAAAAGCCTTTAAAATGTGCATACCCTTTGACCCAGCCCCAATAACTTCACTTCTGGGAATTTATTCTAAGGAAATAAAACTGGGTATGTATAAAGATTTATTTACCCACAAAAAAGTGCTTATTGTGCCGAAACCAGTTTGGCTCAGTGGTAGAGCATCGGTCTGTAGACTGAAAGATCCTGGGTTCGATTCCAGTGTAGGGCATGTACCTTGGTTGCGGGCACATCCCCGGTGGGGGGGTTGCAAGAGGCAGCTGATCGATGATTCTCTCTCATTGATGTTTCTAGCTCTCTATCTTTCTCCCTTCCTCTCTGTAAAAAATCAATAAAATATATATTTTTTTAAAAGTGCTTATTCTGATTATTTACTAGTATAATAGCCATATTAGGGAAAAAACAAATAGCCAACAAAAATATACATTTTTTAAAACATGATACATTTATTTATACCATGGTATATTACATAGGCCTTAACAATATGTTACAGAGAAATTTTGAATATTAAAAAATATTCACAATATATTGTAAAGGTTTTTTTCTTAAGCAAGTTTCACATCAAGACAAATCAGTATTTTTAAGACACTAATCTTGCAAACACATATAAAAAAACATATCTAGATTAAAGACATAACAAATTAAACATCTGTGAAAGCTGAGATTGTGGTTAGTTTTTATTTCCTTCCTCATCTCTCCTAAATGTTTCTAAATGTTGAACAACAAGCATTATATATTAGGTGAACAAAATATTATAATGAAATTGAATCTTACATGTAAAATATTTTCATTTTTCAAGATGCTTTTGTTACTAGGAAATCAGGCACATCTTTCCCACTGGCTTGACTCAACAAAGCTAAGTGACATTTTCTTTGACATTTCTAACTAGTTCAGCATCAAATATTTGTATTTTAAAGCAATTTTGATTATCAATGGAGAGTTCCATGATTGCATTTGAAGTAAAGACATTTGTGGAATTTCTAAAGTTGGGAATGGAATATTAGTATCATCACTCAAGAGCATTAAGTGTGGATCCAGAACACCTGAGATCAACTTCTAACTGTGACTGTAGCTGGTGACCTTGAGAAAGTCCCTTATCCCTTCGAAGGAACTCTCAGACTGGGACTATAGATAGATAGATAGATAGATAGATAGATAGATAGATAGATAGATAGATTTTTTTAAATAAAGGGTATGAAAGGTCAATTTATTTAAAATACCTCCAAGGAAGTCACAATTATTTATTGCATAGTGTTAGCCATCTTTCACCTAGAATTTCCATAACTAACAATCAATCATGGTTGGAATAACATAAAAGAAGGAACTGATTTTCTTTTCTTTTTTTGTTGTTCATTTGGTGTGTATAGAATAAAATATATAGTCATGCACAAAGTGCTTAAGTTGTAAATATACAGCTTAAATTATTGCAAAGTGAATTTCTGTGTCAACTCCACCCAAGTGAAGAAATAGAACATAGCAGAATCCCAGAAGATCTGTATATTCCCCTTCCCAATTACACCTTCTCCCTCCTCCCCAGTCACCACTCTCCTGAAATTATTGTTATAATTTCATTTATTTCCTATATAGTTTTACCACATAAGCATGCATCTCTAGACCATATAGTTTAGTGTATAGTTTAACTTTATAAAAATATAATCATATAGAAAAAGTTGTCATAATAATGGATATAAAAATTTTTTAGGTATTATGTATACATCAGCAAATGGCAATATTATTAGTAATCCTATTAAGTGGGGACATAGGCATTGGATTTCAACCTTCCAAAGCAGGTGGCTGTTCTCACAGTTTTGGCATTGAATCACCTCCCATCAGGTCTAGACCTTCTCACCCTTCCAGATGGTCAGCACAAGCTCACGAGCTCACATTCGGGGCCCATCAGAGCTCTGTTTTGTGACTTCTTGTGACACCTGGATGGAAAAGTACTCACCTGAGGCTGAAGGGGTCTGTAAATAACTGCTTTGTTCATAAATTAGCAGGCTTCCCTGTGTTGAATGAGTTCCCTGAAGATTATCAAGGCTCTAAGTTCACATCTGGTTAATCGTTGGCTAGAAATCAATACACAGAGAGCGATGGTTTATGATAAGGGATTATAATAAGCAAGTTCAAATTCAAGAAATTGGCTGTCTCTTTGCTTTTATATGCTAAAAAGGTACTGATCCTCAGTCCTTTTGAAAAAACATAAATTTCTACTTATATTGCTATGTGAATCAAGCATTACCTATTTTTAAAAAATTATTATTTCCCTTACCCTCATTGGCCAATTCATTGTGTTCTTAGGCTCAGTTGTTCAAATGCCACCTAGAGTTTCTTTCAATCCCAAGGAAATGCACCAATTTATTCTCTGGTGTCACAAGACCTCAGGGTTACAGCTACCCTTTGCCCCAGTTCTGGAACAATCCCCACACTCTTTGATGTTTAGCGGCTGCCTTGTGAACTGATCCATGGGGCTACCAGTGCCCAAGGCTCAGTATTACCGTGGGTTTCCTGGCTGGCAGTTGGCCAGTGCTCGCCATTCCTCCTGTGCAACCACCCGTGCATGTGTACATGAGCACATGCATGTGTAAATGGCTGGGTATGTTCAAGCGTGTGTAGGCATACTATCTGCTCATTCCAGATGTAGACAGCATTACTGTGGACTGTGGCACTAACAGTAAGAATGCCTTTCATGTCGTGAATGTTGGGTGAATAAGCAATGCTTCACCTGGTTTCCTACCCTAACATTCCTCTTCTTCTCACAACTGAAGCCACTTGAATTTCACCTTTAGGCTCAATACTGTACCATTACTAAGACCAATTTGGACTTTGCCAATTAATATTTTAAAGACCTTAGTCCAGATTCTCAAAAGACTCAGAATTAACACGCTTGGCCAAACCTCTCACAGTGATACGGAGACTACACTTGGATCACACTTTGATTTTCTTTCACAGATTCCTGTGTACACTTCAATTATAGTATCTGGAGCACTTGCTACCCATCCCAGGTCCCTAACTATAACTACCTCCACTGCCACTAGAGACTGATTTCCCCCCTTCATGAATCCCAGTAACCAGGACCCTGTTTCCTGACCTCTTATGATGATTACATCCTGAGGCATGTGGTCATGCTCACCACTGGCTGACTTTCTGCTGGAACCTCCACCTCTCCCTGGTAACTCCCTGATCCTGAACAATAGACACTTCTCACCATACTCACCAGATCTATGTCTATCTACTGGAACTCTGCCCCCAGCTCACCATGATGAGCATCTCTAATCTTCAGTTTTACTCTTCTCCTGATCTGTTCTGTCTAATGCCTACTGAAAGGTCTTCCCATTTTAGGTAAAAGATAACATTTTAAAAGTGTGGCACTTTTAAACGAAGCAAATAAACAAAAAGAAAACATCATAATCCAACCATAAAAATTTTATTACTCTTTTAGTGCAAACAAAAATATATACCATGTTCCTGTATTGGAAGACTCAATACAGTTATGGTGTCACTCCTTAGGAACTTATATATAGGAATAATTAAATTCCAGTCAAAATCCCATGGTTTTTGTAGATAGAAAGAAACTGATTCCAACATTTACATGGAAAGGCAAAGAAATTAGAACAAACAAAACAAATTTATAAAAAAAGAATAAAGTGAAGGATTTACCCTTCCTGATTTCCAGACCCACTGTAAAGTATTCAGTATGATACTTCCAAAAGGGTAAAAACATAGAACATTGGAACAGAGTCTATGAATAGACTCACACATCTCTGACCAATTGATTTTTCAAAAAATTATGTTGTAACCATTGAACATCTATATACAAATATATGGACAACTTCAACCTAAATCACAAACTTTATAAAAAAACAATATATTTAAAATGAACCACAAATCTCTATATATAAAAGCCTAAGTGACTGAATGACCAGTCGACTGGTTGCAATGACATGCACTGACCACCATGGGGCAGATGCTCAATGCAGAAGCTGCACTCTGGTTGTCAGTGAGCTCCCACAGCAAACCTCCCACAGCAACCAACCTCCCGTGGTCCCTCCTCCCAGATGGACAGCCCCAGTAACCCCGATGGGTGACTGGGTGTGACAGGTCCTATTGCCCTGATTGCCGGTCAGCCCAAGGCACTCAACCCATGCATGAATTCATGTACCAGGCTTCTAGTATAATTATAAAATACAAAGCTATAAAACTTTTGGAAGGGAAATACTTTCATAACATAAGTTTAGGCATAGATTTCTTAAAACACTGAAAACATTACACATAAAAGAAAATTCCTTCATGATATTAATGAAAGCAATTTCATTTGATAAAGTTACTGTTAATGAGCTAAAAAGAGAACAACCTTTTCCAAAGCTTGAATGTTAGAAGAGAGATGGGGCATAGGACACATGAGGTAAGTTTGTTTGGTTCTCTGCTATTATAAAATAAATTTGAGCATGTTTATGAGATAAATAAAAGAACTCAATAGAGAAAAATATGAAAGCTATAAAAGAAAGAGGAACTCTAACAACATATAATAAAGATTATATACCATGAACAAATGGGATTTATCCTAGGTATGAAAGTTTGGTCCAAAATGAAAATCAATGCACCATATTAATATACTAAAGAAAAAAAAAAGCAAATGATCTTTTAATATACCCAAAAAGCATTTGAAAGAATCTAACAACTATCATGATTTAAAAACAAAACAAAACACAAAACATACCAACAAATTAGGAATAAAAGGAAACTTCCTTAACCTGGTAAAGGACATCTATGGAAACCCACAGCCAGCATTATACTTAATGGTCAAAGATGGAAAGCTTCCTTCCTAACATGAGGAATAGATAAAAAAAAAAAAAAAAAAAAAAAAAAAAAAAAAAAAAAAAAAAAAAAACACCCAGTAGCAACTTGTATTCTGTGTTGTCACATTAGAGGTTTTAAGCAGATTGATTAGGCAAGAAAAACACACACATTCAGACTGAAAAGGAAGATGTAATATTACCTCTAGTCAAAGATGATATGGTCTTGTATATAAAAAAACCCTAAGTAATCTACAAAAATACTATTATAACTAGTAACTACAGCAAGATTGAAAGGTAAAAAATCAATACACAAAAGTCAATTGTGTATTTTACACACTGGTAATTAAAAATCTAAAAATGAAATTAACAATACAATTGCATTTACAATGATATTAAAAGGATGAAATACTTAGCCATAAATTCAACCAAAAAGTACAAGACTTGTTTTCTTATTAAAAACCTCAAAACATTGTTAAAAGAAATTAGATATAAATAAATGGAAAACACCCCATGTTCATGGATCAAAGGACTGAATTTTAAGATAATACTTCCCAAACTGACCCAGAGATTCAGGGCAAACCCTATCAATATTTCAGCTATGTATTTTAGCAGTTCATCCCAATGTCCATATGGAAATGCAAAAGACTCAGAATAACCAAAACAATCTTGAAAAAGAACAAAGTTGAAGCACTCACATATCCTGATTTCAAAACTTACTATAAGGCTACAGTAATTAAGATAGTGTGTACTGACATCAACTAGACATATAGCTCCATGGAATAAAGTGGAGCTTTATTCCATAAACAATGAGAATGGGAATGAGGATAGATTGCTAAAGAGTGTGAGGTTTCTTTTGTGATGATGACAACATTCTATAATTAGATAGTGGTGATTAATGTACAAATTTATCAGAATATTAACAATTTTTATACTTTACAGGGGGAAGCTTTGAAATATGTAAATTGTAGCTTAATAAAACTGTTATTAAATGGGTTGGGGGACCAACTGATGCAAAGAAGGCCTGCAGGACATTAAAAAAGAATAAACCTCATGTCACTGGAAGACCTAACTTTGAATGGCTCTAAGACAGAGAGAAAGCAGAAAGGGTGGGTTTGAAGGGAAGCTTGCAGATGTTGGGTGGGGAAGGACTACAGAGAAAAAAATTGAGGTAACTCAATTCTTTTAGAAGTTGGAAATGATATTGCCTGCTGGAAGCAAACACTTGGAAAGTTGAAGAAAGGTAATTAATAAAATTAGGTGAAGCTTTGAAGAAAATGGAGAGAGGAAGCTGCCTGAGAATAAACAGGAGAAGAAAGCTGGTATTTGCTAAGACATCTTTGCATGGCATCTGACCCTTAGTCACAGTTTGATCTGTCTTCCCTTTAGCACTTCCGTAATCTTCATAAGGGCCCAAAAAGACAACAATCAGTAAACTGTTCATGCAGGCATTTCTGTAGGGTACCATAGTGGTACATGTGATCTGTTTTGCAACCTGGCCAAAGTGCAACAAGGTTAAGTACTGCAAATATTTGTGATTAGGAGAATTCTTTCCTCCAAAACTTGCCATGAGATAGTTCTGCAAAATATAAATATTGGATCAGGGTGATTTATGGCAACTGAAAATTCAAACACAGGCAATGCAGTCCAGTGTCCTCTGTGGTCCCACCAGTGGGGAAATCATGTCCCATCTGACAACATGTAAGATACCTCCCATACCTGAGGCAGGGTGGGCAGCCAAGGCAAATTCCACCCTAGGGCCTCTTCTAGCTTACTGCTTGGATAAACAGAAAGCTTGGCTTTAGTTATCTCTGCAACCCAAACTACTCCTCCTGGGCACCAGCTGATGACAGATAGTCTAATGTAAAGGAACACTCAGAACTGTTCTTAAGCATGTTTGAGGACACTCAAATGTCTCCAGGCAAAGAAGCTTATTATATACTAGTAGTGTGGTGGATTCAATAATAGCAACCCAAATATATAAAATCCTAATGCCTGGAATTTATAAATGTTTCCTTTTGGGGGGAAAAGTCTTGCAAATGTAATTAAATTAAGCATTTTGAGATAAGAAGATTGCCCTGGCAGTGGTAGGAGAGTCAGGAGCCTTCCCTAGAGCATATTGAGGACTCAGGGAAACAGGTGGAGCTGAGCAAATAGAGCAGCACTTAAACAGGGCCCAATGCTTCAGATTTGGAAAATGTCAACTACTATACAAATATTACTTTAACTATTTTTATTGCCTTTCTTTAATTTTAACCATTTAATGG